GAGAGTGAGTGAGAGAGTGAGGCAGTGAGTGAGGTAGTGAGTGAGTGAGAGTGAGTCAGTGAGAGTGAGTGAGGTAGTGAGTGAGTGAGAGTGAGTGAGACAGTGAGTGAGTGAGAGTGAGTCAGTGAGAGTGAGTGAGGTAGTGAGTGAGTGAGAGTGAGTGAGAGAGTGAGGCAGTGAGTGAGAGTGAGTGAGACAGTGAGTGAGTGAGAGTGAGTGAGAGAGTGAGGCAGTGAGTGAGTGTGAGTGAGGCAGTGAGTGAGTGAGAGTGAGGCAGTGAGTGAGTGAGATAGTGAGTCTGAATAGTATTCATTTAGCCAAACAAAGCAGAGAAAAAAATCAGAGTAACACATTGTGCCTGGTTATCTCTAAAGGAAAGTGGAAATTGGGGTTTAAGTGAAAAGAAAATGGAAATAAAGCTTGATTATTTTGACTGAAGTATCAGTATCATGATTTTGCTGAGCTCAGAAAATAAGTTTTATTTGTTCATTTTCTAAATGAATATTTGCTGTTCTCTTCAAGGTGAAATAGCATGAGATCATTCTCACTCCCACTGCCTAAACCTGAGTATTGTTTTCTAGACGCACTGGTTCTAGCAGTGCCAACCATCTGTTAGATCTAATGGCAAATGGTATTATGGTCAGGCTTACATTTGAGCCACTGTGGTGACTGGGTGGACCATGCAAATAGAGTGCGTGAAACACTAACAGGGGGAACTGGTCAGTTTTAGCTGCCACGTGCCTGGCTACAGTAAGCCATCTCAGAAGCAGGAACAGAGAGAAATCCCAGGACGAAGGATCGCCAAGGAAGAGTCCCCACCAGAGCACGTTGGACGTCCCAGGCTTGAAGTGGTGGAGGCAGCAGACAGACGCATGCCACACTGAGGCCAGAGGCTGGGGCAAGGGGACTGAGGCAGAACAGAGGGGCAGCAGAGACTATCCGATTGTGAGGTAGAGCAGGAAGTGGGCTTCCTAGCCCATGGAGGCAGAGGCCAAGGGACATGTGATTGAGAGTCTGAAGACCACAGACAGTGGCCTGGCTGCTGACTGAGAAGAGGCGCTGCTATACACCAATGTCCGTATCCTTACTGTTTACTGATCCAGATTTGTGTTAACCTGCTGACTTCCCCAATAGTCCCTTCACTGTCAGTATTTCTGTGAACTCTGTGTGGCCATGGCAACCAGATACCGACCCCAGCAAAGTGCTGTGTGAGGAATGGTGGGTGTCGGAATAGCATAAAAGAAGGACGGGGTGGAAGGGTGTCTGCCTTCCGCCGATTGGCAGTCTGGCTTGGGCTGGTGAGGGCTTTGTGTAGTCAAGGGAGGTCAGCTATGGCCTCTTAGCCATTGATTCAACAACGGATACATTTCTGAGCATACACGAATCTAACCATTTCTAGTAGCAGTACCATAAAAATGCCATTTGTTGCACTTTCATTCAAATACGTTATAGCGGTGCTTTCTATTTTATTTTTGTTTACGAGGGTGAGTTTATTTTAGGTCTCTCTCACGTGACACTAGCAAGGCCTTCTTCTGGGAGCCCCCCTAGAGCTGCAGAAAATCCCCGCCCCGTCAACGACGTTCAGACTGTTCAGTAAGCACAAAAGGTAAAGAACACGTTCCAGTGGGCACTTGGGGTAGAAGTATCATCGAATCATTTTACCTCCATAATATCTTTGATAAAAGGTGTCCATCGAGAGAGCTGAAAAGTTTCTTCTGCAGTCCGATCCTTTCTTTGTGGTCTCGCCTGCTGTGACTAATACAACCAGAGGATAAGCTTTAAAACCAGTGCTTTCATTCAGGGACAGTCGCTTACTATGTTTCTAATACAAACATTTAATTATAGCATATACTCTGTTGTATTAAATTTAAAACTGAGAGGAAATGCCTAATTAAAAAATAGAGAATAGTTTGGTTACATAACTTCACCAAACAGCATTTTGTGTTTTAATGCTAACACTGATAACAGTATCAGAAATAGCTTTACTCAAAGTGCTATAAACCTTGGTGGGAAAGAGTGAGATTCAAAAAATAATATCATTGTGAATGAGGGGCAGTGCGGAGTGGGGACCCAAAGCCCATCTGTAGGCAACTGGACATCCCCTTACGGAAGGATCATGAGGAAGAGATGAGTCAGTCAGGGTGCAGTATAGCAACGATGAAACATACAACTCTCCGCTAATTCTTTAATGCTTCCTTCCTCCCACTATCATGATCCCAATTCTGCCTTACAAATCCAGTTAGACCAGAGCATATACACTGGTACAGACACGAACTGGAAACACAGGGAATCCAGGACAGATAAACCCCTCAGGACAAATAATGAGTGTGGCGATACCAGGTGGGTAAGGGGAAGGTTGGGGGAGAAATAGGGAAATGAGCACAAGGATCTACATATAACTCCCTCCCTAGGGGACAGACAACAGAAAAGTGGGTGAGGAGAGATGTCAGACAG